ATCGCTGTAGTTCGAAACAGAATCGAGTTACAGCAAAATGATACATGGCAAAATTGTTGCTAAGAAGTCAAGCTTTCAAACGGTTCTACTCATTTTTTATTTTTTTGTAAATACACTTTTTGGACTCAAAAATCCAAACAAGAATAGTAATGCTCCACTCTACCCTACCACTCGATCCGTCTTGGTGCAAAGAATAAGATTTTGGAAATAAATGAGTAAGATTTTCTTATACAGCAACATAATTTTGCGGAAATAACTCATTTTTTGATAAAAATGCGATTTTTTCAGCTTTAATTGTGATTAACTCTATAAATTTTCATAAAATTTATACTTTGTATAGACCAATCGATTCGTCTTGATGCAAAGAATAAGATTTTATTATATACCCAGCTTAAAATCCCCATACAGGATCCTTAAAGGATCCTCTGGGGATCCTGTGCAGGATCCCGTACGGGATTTTGGGACAGGGTTCCTGTGCAGGTTCCGATGCAGGAACCTTATAGCTATCAAAGGTTCCTGTACAGGAATACTTGCAGGATCATGTATACAGGAAACTTTGTAAAGGTTCCTGCACAGGAACCTTTACAGTTTTGTAAACTGCAGGTACTTAAGTATAAGGGATCCTACACAGTTTCCTCAATTAATTAATTTATATTTTTAACTCCTGCGCAGTAGTTTTCTATGAGTTTCTCGAATGCGCAATACATTTTTCTGTCCAACATTGTTATACGAGCCCAACATGTTGAAATATGAAGTCTATGTATGTCAAATGTTGCTTAACATATAAAAATTTAAAAAATTAAAAAGTTTCCTATACAGGATCCTGCAAGTGTTTCTGTACAGGAACCTTTGATACACGGAGAGAGATTCTGTTTTAATATTTCGTATTATTATATTAGTATTTAGTAAAACCGATTGCAATTTGGGGAAATCATGTACATTTATGAATTAATATTACCATTTTTAAGAAAGTTTATAATCAAATTATTACTTTGTATTATTCTGAAGTAATAGAAATTGAAATAGTCAATAAGAAGTTGTAATATTATAAGTAAGAAAGTATGCAATAGTAAAAAGTATTACCAGATGATTATACTAAATACTATCGAAGAATTACATAAGTTGTTAATTTAGTTATGAATAGTATTATCGACTATAATAAAAATTATGACCAGCCTAGTAGCAGGCCATAGCAGGCTATGGGCTGACGTCAGGCTGACGTAGAGCGGTTACGAAGCTGTCCGAGATTAGCCGAATATTTCAGTCGAGCAGTTCCGAAATTATCCGAGTCAAACCTCGTGGCAACATGTGCACGTTGTGTTTACCCCAAAATATTTTAATTTGATGTGTCAAAATGTGTCGGAATTGGGTGAACAATTTTATTTTGTTCATTCAATAATTTTAATCGACAATGAAGATTTCCTAATTGTAGTAAAAGGCATAGTCCATTGTCTTTTAAATGAGCATTTGAGAGCATTCAAAATTTACACGGAAAAAAATTAATCTCTAAATTAGAGATTTAATATGAGATTTAGGCATAAACTATCACTGGAATCGGATATGTGATTTGAACAGATCTCTAAAACTGAAATTTAGAGTTATATCTAATCCGCATATATTATCAGTGTGAAGAATCCGTATTTTTATGCCTGAAAATGATATTAGAAATCTCAAATTTTATGATTTATCACAATTTAGAGTGAGAATTATTCAAAGAATGTATATTTTTCTTTTAGTATGAACTTATAAACAAATCCATTGACAATCATAAAAAATTGGACATTTTTTGAAGATAATATGAATTTTTTATTATTTCATTTCTTTATTTGAATCAAATAATCTCAACATCACACAATATAAACATTCTTTTTCTATTTCTTAATAAAAAAACATGGTTTGGTACAACTTTCAATATAGGTTAGGTTTTCAAGTGTCAAACGAAAGTTTAACCTGAAAATACTAATAAATAAAAATATGTCCCACACGTGATAACGCGAAAAACATTCGTAAAATATGGAAAGTGAAAACTGGGAATGAAACTGCATTTAAAATATAAAATTAATACTTAAATAATTAAAATGGTTTAAATATTCTTTGACAATGATGAACTTAAAACGCAATGTAATTCACATCAGATAAGTTGTGAAATTAACAAATCTCTAAATCAGAGATGTGAATTTAATTGTGACTATAATGTCTATTTTAGACATACTTACATTCCATTGGATTTCAAATTAATATTATTTCGAGTTTAGATATTAATTTTTTTCCGTGTACGAAAATGAATTAGGACATTGGAAGGTATTTAAAAAAAATGATTTAAGATATGCTGCATTTTCTTATGCCAATAAATTAAATGATGGGTTTTTTTATATAACGAAAAATTGGATATAATTTCAATAGAAATCATTTTTCAGAAACAAACAATTTTAAAAACAGTATAATGATAAACATTTATGAATAAAATTTTGACCCAGCATACAAAAGTATGTATTTATAATGTAAAATAAATTAAGAACTTTTTTAAACAAAATATGGAGAAAATATCACTTTCTCACAAGTTCAGAAAATTTCTCGAGTTTAGTATATAAGGAAGTTGAGAACTGTATCTCCCAATGTACAGCGTGCGTGCGTTATTGCGTTTATTTGTATTTAAGTTAAGTTTATATGTATGCGTTTATAGGTTTTAACATAGATCTCCGAAATTGTATATAGTTTGTGTTTGTATAGTATGATGTATAGTATGATGCTTGCGTTAGCTCATTGGTGTGTGTGCGAAATACTTTCGAAACGATAATTCTATCCTCCTCCTTCCTACGTCTTTTTATTTCCTGTCCTTTTCGACTCACTCATAATTTTTAGTATTGACTATATTAAAGATTGAAATATGTATTTTATTCTAAAATTTAAAAGAACTATTTCAATTTTTCTTATTCTTTCGATACTTTCACGGACTGCGATTTTAATATAGTCATTTTTAAAAATTATAATTCTTTTATTAAATTGTATTACAATTTTATTAATTTTTGTAAAATATATCAAGGGCTGCCTACTAATATGCACAATATTAATTTTTAATATAAAACACGATTTCCCTAAATTGAAAAAGAATATATTAAATTCTATTGCCAATTTTAACAAATATTAATACAAAATCTCTCTCCGTGTAGCTAAGGTTCCTGGATCGGAACCTGCACAGGAACCCTGTCCCAAAATCTCGTACGGGATCCGGTCGGGATCCTGCACAGGATCCCGAGAGTATCCTTTAAGGATCCTGTACGGGGATTTTAAGCTGGGTATTAACTTCAATAACCAACTTAAAAAAATTTTTTTAGAAAAAAGTCAAAAAAAAATTTTTTTTAGCCAAATTCGTTAAAACCTCTACAAGTTATCGTGTTCACAAAAAACGGGATCCACAAATACATACATCCGGACAATTGTTCAGGGCCTTATGTAACGTAGTCCTATATATTTATTTTTTTATTTTATTTATTTATTTAACAGGCAAAAAAAGCCCTTAAATACATATAATGTTTAATTATTATAAGACACCAATATATTGTAAATGACATTGAATTGCAAAGAACTGATACAATCAAGGACCTTGGACTCACTTTATGTGTAAAATTTTCATTTAATGAACATATCTCAAATTCTGTAAGTAGATCAATTGGAATGCTTGGTTTTGTTGTAAGAAACACAAATGATTTTACTTGTGCTCGTGTGCTCAGAACGCTTTTCCTTTCTTTAGTAAGACAAGGACTTCTGAACATCTCTATTATTTGGTCTCCTTACTATGATTATTTAATATTAAGATTGGAGAGAGTCCAAAATAGATTTTTACGTTTTGCAGCAAGAAGGTTAGGGATTTTTCATGATTATTTCAATCATGATTACAACGATTTAAGATTGAAGTTGAATCTCCCTTCAATTCAATCTATATTATTGTATAATGATTTGCTTTTTTTATATAGATTATTAAGTGGTTCAATAAAATGTCCTGCATTACTTTCTAAATTCTGTTTTTACGTTCCCTTAAAACGCACTCGCCATAACCCTCTTTTTTATGAACGTACTCATAGAACAAATTATGGCTATAATTCGTATGTAAGTAGAGTTTCTCGTGAGGCAAATTCTGTAAAGACAATTGATTTCTTCGAAGCCTCAAGCACGAAATTTATTAGTAAATTGAGAGCAATAATACTACAATACTAGTGTCTACGATTATATAGTTTTTCTTTTTGTACTTATATGTACTTATATGAAGAAAATTTGTTAAAAAGGTTCTATCGATAATTAATTTAATGAACAGATTTTGATAAAACTTGATGTGCAGCTAGATAAAGTTAATATAAAGACGTAGTTAATTTTTTGAGACCTCTAGGTACCTATGAAAAAAGTTATAAACATTTTTGATTTTCAACATTTAACATTGAGTCTTATGGGAATTGAGTAGTTTGTCATATATATTTACATACTGCAAAGTATTAAATGAACAGATATTGTTCTAAATTTTTAAATTACTAAACCGATATGCAATAATTACATATCTGTAAAAACAATTGTCAATAGGTACCTGTGAGATTTACAATAAATCAATTTATAAACAAAATTTACGTTTCATCTGAAACAACACTTTTTGGCAACATTGCATGCACTATACACATTAAATTTGAGCGCGAAATTTAAATGATAATTTTCATCACAGGTTAGAAATAATTCGGCGTTGCCAAACGTTTTACGTTACCAAGTGAGTCAAATCATTAAATATTTGTCACTGTTTTGACTAGCTGCGTCAAGCGATAGAACTACCTTAAAACGATTTTTAAAAATTTTATAAATTAAACGACTACAAAGCTTCCTCACGAGGGAGCAAAATGAAAATTGTGCTTAATGGCGATCGGGAAAAAGTGAGGGTAAAACAAAATAGAATCTTTGAGGCAACCCTGTTATGGTTGTAAATAAATAGTGATAATTGAAATGAAATATTATTTTCACAGATGTCGACGTGGAAAAGGCGTCTTTGGAAAATGTGCCCGCCAATTTATACGAGAGTGTCTGCGTCCCGGATTTGGGCGATTTCTTAGGCTATCAGAACGCGGCGAATCCAGTCGCCACATCGGAACACAAAAGTCCAGCGACTCCTGCCAGTTCGACGACTTCAAACTCTTCCGGCCCACAACGTTCGTCTCAAGCAATTCAGCCACCTGCGTCGATCATCCCTCTACCGCCGAGGCAATTTCACTCCGAAGGTGAGTCCCACTTTGTATAAATTTATTCTCTTGATAACAAATTTTTAAAGAAGGAAATAATTGCAAAAAAGAAAATGTGGAAAAAGAGAATAAGGAAATTTTTGTTTCTGATGAATAATTTGAAATATGCTTTAGGAGAAAAATGAGAGCTCGATTGTTTTCGCTTTTAGAATAGAGAATAATTTGCTTAATGACCGATTTTCCGAGGCAGAAAGTTTCCAGTTGCGAGATTTTACGTCATCGTGTTTCGCGTTGAAACGACAACTTACATTATTTTGCTCGCATAAGACGTCTCGTCCGCCCCCCGCACCCACGTTTTCAACGACAAAAGACTTTTGCCTATTCTCAACCGATTGCAAATAGACAAACGAAAGCGTTGCGACGATGAAATTTCTCATTGTTACGTCACAAATTTGATAGCATCTGCATCGAGTCGTCGGGAGTTGTTACTTACTCTCTTCTACATACATTAACATTAATACGTTCTGCGTCTGCGCCAGTATATTTTCAATTGCACAAAGAAAATTAGTCCAAATATTTTGAAAAATTTACATTTTTATCTAATTCTGTGAAATTCAAAAGATTAATCAGAGATGGAATTTATTTACTTGAACTGAAAAATTACATCAGAAATGTTAAATAATCAATTTTAGGTTGCCGAAATTGTGTGAATTTTCATTTTTCTCTTCTCTAAAATTATTTTATCACCATATTTAATTTTGTCGTCTTTTTCAAAATCCGAAAATTTTTATGTTTTCATTTGTTCCGGTTTTCCAAAGTTTCATGTTTCCGACTTTTTATTTGTTCGAATTTCTTTTCCATCGAAACTAAATTATTTGCACAAAAAAAGATACTTTTCTTAACCATCAGAAAAAATGGCGCTAGTGTCTTACATTTGAGTAAAATTGAATTAGTTAAAATTAGTTAAAATTTACTAATTCATCATTAAAAAAATGTTAACATCTTTCTATTTTGTCTATATTTTAATGATTTTTATTAAAAAATTTTGCCCGAAACTTTTATTTTGCAATAGTCTTAATTATAATAAATTTTTATTTTTCAAGTTTTAATTATTTTATAAAGGTTAAAATTTTATTCTTATTTCGAACAAATTTTTAATTATAACAATTGAACTTATGGTAAATTGAAAATTCGGACAAGTAGAATTTTGTAAATTTGTAAATTCCCATTTACGAAAAATAAATAACAACTCTTGAATGGAATTTTGGACAAGTAAAATTGTTTTCTGAGGGAATTGCGGACAATCGGAAATTGTGATTGGAAATATTCGGTAATGAAATTGATTTTCGCTTCTTGAATTCGAGTGGATGAGTTTCGCTAGATTCGCTAGATTCGCAGTGAATAGAGAAAAAATTGTGGAAGAAAAAATAGGCAGAAATCGCCACGAGTCAAATGGAATCATCTCTCTATTGTCCGCACCGAAGCATGGAGGGCCGGCTTTCCCTCGTTCACCCACGGTCACTGCTGCCGTGACGTAAGTCTCGGCCCCGTCTAGGTAATTGTTACTTACGCTACCAGAGAGTCGGCGTGTGTGGGTGCATATCTGCATACGCTAATGTCAGTCATCATCTTCATTGATAATCTTGAGTCTTCGTCTGTGAATTCGTTTCAATGCTCCCGTTGCCAAAGCACAGTCTCAACTACTCACAACAGCATAAAAAACACTTCTTATTTCCCTTCTCTGCTTAAACTCTCTAGCATTCTTTTCAATTCATTATATTTTTTACTTTTCATTTAAACAGAATTGTAGGCTCGAATTTTCTTTATCATTCTTTATCAGATTGCGTCATTTAAAAGGTTCATTTTTTATTTTCCAAAGTATAAATTTAATTCAAATTATTAGTTTGTGTCATTTCTAGAGGAATAATTTCAATCAAAAAAGAAAAATTAAAAGTCTTAATCTTTTAATTTATATATATTTCCTAATAATTGTAGAGAAAAATTTTCTTCCCACTTTGAGATTTCATTCATTTCGGTGCAGGGAAAATAAAAATCTGGAACAAATTCGCAATTCGCTTCACCGGATTCGAACCTAGTACCTTTACCCTTTAACATTATTGTTCTAACAACTAACCGCCACGGCTAAATGTAGATACAATCTGGAACAAATACAAAAAGCTATTAGGAAAATAGAAAATTAGATAAATTGAAAAAAGCAAAAAACAAATTCGATCAAGTGAAAACTGAAAAATAATTTTTCAATAAATTCAACTTCTGACGAAAGAAAATTTGGATATAGTACATTTGGAAAAATAGATTTTTCGAGATAGAGATGAATTCTGAAAATAGCGGAATTTTTCGGCGATAAAATAAATAAATTGAAGTTTTAAAAAATATAAAGGAATTTATGAATTTTTGTTACCTTACGGAGTTAGGAGGACAAATCAGTTCCATTGTAAGGAAGTTGAAAGCGAAGAGGATAAGCGAGAGTCGAACCAGAGACCTCGAAGAGCTACGAAACATAACGTAATAGCAGGTATATACCGGCAAGCAGAAATAATGAGTCTATTATGAGGTCGTTTATCGTTTGTGTTAGTCCATTTTATACATTTCACGAACTTCCATTTCAAACGACTCGATCGTAGACTCGTCTATGCACAATATTTTCTTCCCTCCACTCCAAAAGTTTTACTAAACTTGCTCTTTCTTTTCCAAATGTTTCTCAAAATTTATATATATAGAAGTCGTCAACCTTTTTGACAATATATTGACGGGGTGATGCATTCAGTTTCAGTCATATTTATGGAGAGAATAATTGAATCGTGAATTTCGAAACGAGCTCAACTATAGAGTTTTTTTTTCAAATTTCACTTTTTTGCATTTTTTGCATTATTACATATTCATTGACGTTTTCTTAAAAAAAAACTTCATCTGAGGTACTTTTAGCGGAAAAAAAGTTATTAAAGTTATTAAGAAATAAACAGTTTTTTGTGCACAGAAAAAAATGCGAATGGTAAAAACAACCACATTTGTGTAGTTAGAAAAAAAGTAGTTAAAACTACCATATTCAGCAGCATTTTAACTACACTTCCTCAGTTAGTGGAACCAAAATGAAGTAGTTGGTTTTATGTAGTTAAAATAACTACTTTACGTAGTTGAAATAACTAACAGATGCTTGTAAATGGCTCAACTATAGTGTAGTAGTAAAAACTATTGTTAAAAACTATTGTTAAAAATAGTTAATTTTACTATTGTGTTAGCAAAAATAACTATTTTGTATTAGTTGCAAACAAAATGAGACTTACTGTTTTTATATAGTAAATACAAGCTCTGAAAGTTGTTACTTTTATGATTTATGAAGTTGAAACAACTATTTCTTACTAGTTGCAGAGAAAGAAAGAAATTTACTGTTTTCATATAGTAAAATCAGTTGTTGAAAATAGTTAATTTTACTATTTATGCAGTTGAAAAGATCATTTTTTTCTACAGAGAAAAAACGTGAGTGGTAAAAACATTCACATATGTGCAGTTAAAAAAATATAGTTAAAACTACCATATTCAGCAGCATTTTAACTAAACTTCCATAGTTAGTGGAACTAAAATTGAATAGTAGGTTTTATGTAGTTAAAATTACTACTACACGTTATGATTGTGAATAACTCAACAATAGTGCAGTAGTAAAAATATCCATTTCTTGCTATTTGCAAAATAAATTAAAATTTACTATTCCAAAGAGTAAAAACAACCGCTGGAATTTGTTATTTTTGTGTTTAATGTAGTTAAAAGAACCAATTCTTACTAGCTTTTAATAATTTATCTCTATGGTGGTAAGAAACATTTATTTTTATAACTACAAAAGTCATAAAAGTAACAATTTTTATGTTGTTTTTACTATATGAAAATAGTAAGTTTAATTTTTTTATAACTAGTAAAAAGTGGATAATTTTACTACAGAAATTCTGAAAATAACTATTTTCAACAGTACTTTTAACTACTGCACTATCGTTGAGTCATTTAAAATCATATGCTGGCTACATTTCAACTAAGTCCTTGAGCTTAAAAAATTAGTTACTGCAACTAAACGGAGTAGTTATTATGACTGAATCTAAGAAGAATGTCCTCAAGTACAATGCCAGTCATCGTAGCGTGCGAGCGTGGTTAGGTGGTTAAGTTATCGGTTTGCGAATGTTAGGGTCGTGCGTTCAATCCCCGGCGTTTGGGGATTTTTCTCTGTTAGGTGTATAAGAATTTAATATATAAATTATATATGAACAAAAATAGGTAAGAGAAAATATAAAAAAATGGACTTCAATAATAATAAAAAACAAATAAATAATTTCATTTTACTACTTTAAATAGTTAATTTAACTATTTTTTACAGTTGTTACAACTACAATTTGTTACGGGCGCCTATAGGAACTATGAAAATTTAGTTACTGCAACTAAATGAAGCAGTTAGTATGACTAACAACAAATAGTTAAGATAACTGTTTTAGTAGTTAAATTTACTGTAAAAATGGTATTTATTACTACATTTTACAGTTAGACTAACTATTCTGTCATAGTTCATTTTACTAAATAATGTTACGGGCGCCTATAGGAACTACAGGAAATAGTAAAAAAGTAGTCAAATTTACCATATTTTTTTTTGTGTGTGTCTCCTGTAAAATTTCAAAAAACCCAGTTGAACCCTTTTCGAAATTCACGATTCAATTATATTGTTTATAATTTTGTATTATTTATTTAAAAATTACTCTTTACTACTTTTTTATTTTTACTACTTCTGCAATCTGTGAATGTACTTTTGAGCCAATATTGGCACTAAAACTTCGCCCAATATTCACAATGGATTTTTTATTTTCAAAAATATTCCAACTAATTATTGAATTAGTTCATTTTCTGTTTTTTTCAGTTCCTTCTTTATTTCAAATTCAAATATTAATTTCTCATAGCGTTTTTCGTAATATTGAATTATAGAAATAAGTTGAAATTGAAGTTCATCACGTATAGAATCTTGTATGTATATATATTTTTTCGTC